AAGTAAACACAGCAGTTGTGATATTTAACTTTTAAGGCATCCATCTTATTATATTTTAAAATAAAATATTTATTTATTCAATTATTTCACCAATGAGTCAGCATACTAAACCGTTGTGGGAATGTTAAAAGTTTTCCGTTACCAAGTATTTAAATGCTGGCCCCCACCAATGAGTCAGCATACTAAACCGTTGTGGGAATGTTAAGAGTTTTCCGTTACCAAGTATTTAAATGCTGGCCCCCACCAATGAGTCAACATACTAAACCGTTGTGGGAATGTTATGAGTTTTCCGTTACCAAGTATTTAAATGCTGGCCCCAGTGTTCAGCGGTAAGTATGAAAGTTTATAATGCTAAAAGCAGGGTTTTGATATTCGTAGTGGGAAGATCACAGATAGCCCATTATGTAGCTTTGTACGTTGTAAACAAATAAAAGAAGCCCAAATGCAATAAATGCTTATTAGTTTACCTTATCATATTTCACTAATTACTCCATCATAATTATCCGGATAATTAGTAATTGCACGTTTGTAATTATATAGACTGTTTGTAATTAATTTTTAGTGTTTAGTTGTACCTGATACAAAGAGTCTAATATTGAATATGTTAAGTCTACAAAATAAACTATACAATAAATACCATAACACTTCAAGTTACATAGTTTCTAGTACTGACTTGTTAAGCCTACGATAATAAACTATGAAATAAATACCATAACTCTTTAAGTTACATAGTTTCTAGTGCTGGCTTGCTAAGTTAACAAAATAAACTATACAATAATTACCATAATACTTCAAGTTACACAGTTTCTAGTACTGACTTGCTAAAACTACGATAATAAACAACAAAACTAAAGCTTTATTGCACTGTCAGTGACACTGTTTCGAGTACCGAATATTTAAAGCATACAAAAATAAAAAGTAATGTTAAATATATCCTTTCACTCAATTTTTATTATTCAACAATTTCAGCCTACAACAATAAAACGTAATGTTAAACATTTCCTTTCACTCAATTTCTATTGTTGAACAGCTTCAGCCTACAACAATAAAAAGTAATGATAAACATTTCCTATTACACAATTTTTATTGTTAAACAGCTTCAGCCTACAACAATAAAAAGTAATGATAAACATTTCCTTTTACATAATTTCTATTGTTGAATAGATTCAGCCAAGAACAATAAAAAGTAATGTTAAAATTTCCTTTTACACAATTTCTATTGTTGAACAGCTTCAGCCTAGAACAATAAAAAGTAATGTTAAACATTTCTTCTTAGATAATTTCTATTGTTGAACAGATTCAGCCTACATCAATAAAACGTAATGTTAAACATTTCCTTTTACACAATTTTTATTGTTGAACAGCTTCAGCCTACAACAATAAAAAGTAATGTTAAATATTTCTTCTTAGATAATTTATATTGTTGAACAGATTCAGCCTACATCAATAAAACGTAATGTTAAACGTTTCCTGTCAGATAATAAATGTTGTTGAACAGGTTCAGCCTACAACAATAGATTATATTGCTTTCATGTTTCTCGCTATACATATACAATTTTCTACTGCATCAAGGACTGAACTGTGACATTTGCTGTTATAAAAAATTTACTTAACAAAACGTTTACGCTTTTATTCAACCATATATATCGAACTTGACTATCTTACAAGCGGCTGAAGGCAAACGACGTTCGTTCCCTGGCGAAAAAAAAGCATTTGATGTTCCTAACTCTTTTTCATTTAACTGAACTTTAAGCTTTGTAACCTACCATTTAATGAATAATTTAAGCAATGCTATAACTAGTGTCTTATGTATTTCATCTTACAGCCATAAACTTTGATTTTTAAAATTCTCTAATTATTGTCATCTTAAGAAAAGGAAATTCATAAAGAATGATTTCATACATAAGCTATTAGATGTTGTTTTTTTTAATTTGTTAATGCCACATATATAATACAGGACAACTTTTAATCTGATATTGAATTGGGATTCCAGCTGGGAATATTAATGATTTACCACTTTTTGTCATAAGCTGAGACAAAGTTTTATTTTGCCTTTAGGCAACTTGTTCAGTTTAGTCCAAACTTTTCCCGAAACAAAGCTGTATCTGGTAGCAGTCAGAGAACAAGGCAGCCAGTCTTGCTATTGAAGCGGTCTTGTTCAGACACATTGGGCTGTGACAACGATCTCCAGGTCTTTTCCATCCTTTGGTACGATGGTCTTTGAAATCGAGACGAACGTGAACTTATCCATGAAGAGCTATGACATCCAATCGTGGACTGTCTAAACTAAGTGGTCTTGACTTCAGTCTCTGCGGTCTCGGTTGTGGCATTAGGCCAACAATTCTATACAGCCTTGCTGAATCTATCATGGACAGTTTACTGGTCCAACAATCCTAATACAGCCTTATGGAATCTACCATGGACAGTTTACTGGTCTAACAATCCTAATACAGCTTTATTCAATCTATCATGAACTGTTCACTGGATCAACAATCCTAATACAGCTTTATTGAATCTATCATGGACAGTTCACTGTGCTAACAATCCTAATACAGCCTTATTGAATCTATCACAGACAGTTCACTGGGCTAACAATTCTAATACAACCTTATTGAATATATCATGAACAGTTCACTGGGCTAACAATCCTAATACAGCCTTATTGAATCTCTTATGGACAGTTTACTAAGCCAACAATCCTAATACAGCCTTATTGAATCTATCATAGACAGTTCACTGGGCTAAGAATCCCAAAACAGCCTTATTGAATCTATCATGGACAATTTACTGGTCTAACAATCCTAATACAGCCTTATTGAATCTATCATAGACAGTTCACTGAGCCAACAATTCTAATACAGCCTTATTGAATCTATCACAGACAGTTCACTGGGCTAACAATCCTAATACAGCCTTATTGAATCTCTTATGGACAGTTTACTAAGCCAACAATCCTAATACAGCCTTATTGAATCTATCAGGGACAGTTCACTGTACTAACAATTTTAATACAGCCTTATTGAATACATCATGGACAGTTAACTGGGTCAAGAATCCTAACACAGCCTTATTGAATCTATCATGAACTGTTCACTGGATCAACACTCCTAATACAACCTTGTTGAATCTATCACAGACAGTTCACTGGGCGAACAATCCTAATACAGCCTTATTGAATCTCTTATGGACAGTTTACTGAGCCAACAATCCTAATACAGCCTTTTTGAATCTATCATGGACAGTTCACTGTGCTAACAATTCTAATACAGCCTTATTGAATATATCATGGACAGTTAACTGGGCCAAGAATCCTAACACAGCCTTATTGAATCTATCATGAACTGTTCACTGGATCAACACTCCTAATATAACCATGTTGAATCTATCACAGACAGTTCACTGGGCTAACAATCCTCC